AAATCAAGAAGAGAAGAGGCCTTAGTACTGAACCCTGGGGGACCCCACCTGGACATTCCATAACCTGATAAAAAGTGAAGTTAATCTTGATCTTGAAATGTCGATGTTTTAGATTTGAAGTGTGCCAGTCGACTAGAGGTGATTTGATACCCAATCGTTTGAGCTTATTGAGAAGACATATATGGTTAACTCTATGAAGTCAAGGTAAATGAAGTCAGCATTGGTCTTGTGATCATGGATGGTTGTCCATTCGTCCACGACAGTCAGCAGGTTGGTTATACAAGAATAAAACTTCCTGAAACCACGCTGTTAGGGTGAAAAGAAGTTCAAGGAAAATAAATAGTCTCATATCAGGGACTCCATAACTTTTAAAGGTAAAGAAAGAAGAGCCACCGTTTGGTAGCTTGAAGGTTCGCTGCGTCGACCTTTTTTGAAGTTTGGCACGATGTGAGCCGGCTTCAAAATATCCGGTAATGTGCCACGTCTTAGCGAGTGTGAGAACTCGCCAAGTGGTGTTGCCAGGATTGGAGCTGCTCCTCATAGTATAGCAGAATGAACCATGCCCGAGCCAGTAAGTCTTTTCTTAGGTGCTGCAGTTTCCGGAAACCAAGTCAGCGCCCAGGTCCAATTTAGAATGTCCTATGCAATTGCAGATGAAGTATTCATCAATATGGTTGACGTAGGTCTGTTGAAATGTCCGAGAGTATTGTCCAGCCAGAAAGTTAGCGGCGTCATCATTGTTATTAGTTGGGCTAATAGGACTTAGCAGTTGAGAAACCCAAGTTTTGGCTTGTCGAAGAGAGGCTGTATAACGGAATAAGCTTTTCAGATTGGAGACAAACATATTGATAAGCTTTATCTGGTACTGAAACCTGCCTTCTCTTCTTGCCTTTCTACATATGTTCCTTATATGTTTGTATTGCTTGCACGCGACGTTGTTACCAGTTTGTTTGTATTCTGCCCCAAAAGCGCCTCTTGCGGCATAGCAAACGAAGAGTGCGGTTCTTGATGACTGGAGGCTGCTTGTACAGTTTTCATCTCCAATATACGTGTGTTCCACGAAATTTACTTTAGGAAGATTTATGTCCTTCTGAATCAGGATATGAGTGAATCTGAAACGAGAAGAGCGGGATCATACTTCCAGCATAAGATTGTCATACTCGATGTCAGCAGTGAGCTTCCTGTCGATGACTCCAAACAGACACCTCGAGGTGGTAGACAATTCTAGTGAGCACCATACAAATTCATCAAGATTGATGAACTTTTGGTTGTGCACTTGATGAACCTCCAGGTAAGATCGCAAGTATAAAGCTGCTCCACCCTCAATTCTTGTCTTTCTGTCATTGCAAGACATTTCTAGCTCCTGATCCGTAAACTAAGAAGATATCCAAGTTTCAGATATTCCTATCAGTTGAGCATTATTGGAATTGCTGAGTTGACGTAGCACATTCATTTTATTCGGTAAACACGCGGCTTTCATGTATAAGCAGTTTATGCTTTCAATTTGAAACGAGTAAGCTTCTTTCTGTTTGTCTGTATGAGCCTTACGTGAATGGATAAGTAGCCTATTTATATAAGGTTTGCCGAGTTGGTAGGCCCTGTCTTTTACACGTATTTTTATGGTCAAGACAGTCCACAAATGGAATGATGAACTTCAACTTGCCTTTGTGCTTGATCCTGGTGTCTAGCGGCCTATCCGGATGCATATTGATTCAAGTTGGCAACCAACGCCTGTTGGCTTGAAATGCTTTCAGATTTGCAGCCGCCATATGGGAGGATGGGAAAGTTATCTTCATTAGCCGGGGTCCAGAATAACCGTCCTTCTTGACTAGTCTGACCACTTGTTGAGTCGGTATGTTTTCGAGCTTCAAGGATTGCTTGATGAATTTTTACTCAATAATATCAGGGTTTGGGTGACCACGGTTCGTGTTTTCCGGCACACTATGCACAATGATATTTCTTCCGCGGAAAAACTCGCGAGATTCCTTAGGGTGTTCCGGGTGAGACTAAGCTCAGAATACAGTATGTCAGATAGTATTTTTACACTCTCATCTGGTTTCAGTAAGTGACTAGCTAGTAGGATATCCTCTACGTTGGTAGCGTTAGTGTTACACGAAGTAGCTTCGGGTAATTTTGATGGTTTTAGACCTTTCTCCGAGTGAGCCGTGTGACTGTCAAAGGCCCTCCCTAGGTGGCATTCACAGATTCCAAGATATTTATTCAATCTATAAAATTAAATGTCCTGACTTTTGATAGAGTGCATGTAGATAACTAATCATGTACAAAAAGCATTGACACATTCAATGAAATCTGAATTAGGCGCTTGTAAAATAAACCAATGACATTTGTGCCTATCACTTGAAGGCTTAACGGCTCAGGACGTTTCTGTAGACGTGTGAAGTGCTAGTGTTTATTGGCTTTACATATTTCCGTCGATAGTAAGTAGCTTTTAAGAGTTTTAAAGTCGTAGTATTTTGCTTTCGTGGTCAAATTTATATGAATAATTACAAGATAGTTGGAAACAACTCAGTCTATAGAATTCCACAGTTCAAGCTTGTAGGGAAGACTGGACTAATATGGGTTACCGTAATAAATAACCCGTAAATTTGGTTTAGCAACTTTTAGGATTAAAGAATTCCAACCACTAAGCAGCCCATATTTTTTCGGACAGTAAATATGTATTATAGTACAATACACAAGCTAATAAATATAGGGAATGTAATTACGGTTAAAGCCCTATCTAAAACAGACCATCTCTCAAAGTACTTTGATATTGAAAGTGCTAGCGTTCAGTCGTTTAATTCTAAAGGTCTGTTTTCTGTACCAGATTACGAACCATTGAAAATCTTACACAAAGAGTATTTCAACGGGTTGGGACACAATTTTTACCAAGATCTAGCACTAGTTTGTACCTAATAGTGTAATGTATTAAAAATCTAAGTAGTTAGTGCTTGTCTAAACAGTATATGTTGTTGACTTCATAGACAAAATGTGTTTGTCCAACCTTTTCATAATCTGTCTGTGGATGAGTGATTACTGCAAAGCCTCTTGTAATGTCCTCTGCCAGGACCATAGCATAACCGAGTACATGACTAAGCGTTGCACTGCTTGCGCCACATTCTGTTAGTAAAATGTGGGACTTTATGCATAGATTCCTGTTATAATACATCCGTTTAAGTGGTTAGGATATGATTTTTATACATTAACTTATAAAGCAGGTACTTTCGAATATTTTATACGTGATTGATATAATTTCTTATTGTTCTTTTTTATTATACTGACAGGCAGATAATGTGGTTTTTCATAGTCGTAACATTTTACATTGATATATACGTCGAGATAAAGGCGATATAAAGCTAGATATTATATCACAAATAATCGTAGATAGCTAAAAGAGATCAGGTACAAACAGATAATCAATGACATGGTTTTCAAGATTTGAAGAAATATGATGATATAGTATGGTTATTGAGTATTTTATCATCAAGATCGTGTTAAAGATATGGTCCAGACTCCCAATTTGTTCTCATAAATAGTAAGGGTAATCTTGGTAAGACTTTAATTTATGGACGACCTTTGAGCTAAGCTAGGCTGACCTTGAGTGTCCACCTAATATCTATAATTAAATGAGGGTTTTAAACCTATGTGAGGAATTATAATTATGTTTTGGAGTTGATGATTAACGTTAGGAATTAGATTTCGGGTTTTCATCACGAACTGACATCAGCTATAATGCCAAAACTATTTAACCAAATTGGATGAGTGAATTTCGCACCAATATCCGATGCCTATTATCATATACCTTATTAGTTTGTCTATAAATTATAGTCTCGCCGTAATTTTATGTTGTTCCAAATTTAGGCATAAGTTCTTCAAACTATCAGTCAGGATGACCTAATTTATAACAGCTCAATGTGAACTCGTTAAATGGATGCACATTGTGCTATATTTAACATTAATTATAAAGTACTGACTTGGCTATAGCACTTGAATTCCTACACCTGAGTTGCGAGTTCGATTTCAATTCTACCTATTGGATGCTAGGTAGCCGGCAGGAACATTAGACCGGCTAAAAGGGTCGTTGAAAATTAGGCACACAGACTTGGACTTGAAGACTGAGTTACATTATTATTGCTATAACGATCCTGGAACTAAACATTACCAGATTCTTCTTCCAGTGCATAGTTCGGATTGGACCATCATATGATTAACTATCACTACCTGTTTATGCATCATATGGTGTCTGCCGAAGTTGAATCTTTAATATATTACAGGTTAAGTAACGTTACTTTTTAGTCAAGCAGTTCAGCGTTACTGAAGTACATTCTGACTTAATGAAGTTGCGTTGAAATAGTTGTACTTATTTTCATTTTTCTTCTACAGTATATATTTTGTCACATATTCTCCCGAAATTTAGCATATAAAATGGTTATCATTCATACTACAGTTCACATTGGGGAATCCGCATTAAATACAACTATCAGTATCACTACCAAACGCGGAAAAGCAATTTTGTGATTATAGGTTGGGAGATTTTTCTTAACTTCTAACAGTACATTACAAGCTCACCACAATTAACTCCGTCCTTTGTTTAACTGATAATTCTGAAATAGTTCATACGTACCAAAAGTGTCGATTGCAGACATTCATCCGGATCAATTTCGTTTCTCTAGAAAAGTTGGCATGTCTCAAGTTGATGTAATGATTTGTTTTCTCAATATACTAATGTGTACGCATTAGTTCCTAATGTTCTGATAAGTATTTTTATTAGTAATAAATGACTGGTTTGTTTATTTTTTATTATGACTTATTGTTGGTTTGTATCTAAGGTTTTACAATGACGTCGTGCCCATTTTTGCGTAAATTGTCTCCTACTGTGATTCAAAGAGATGTTCAACAGTTGATCCAATTAATACCAAGATGTCCGTTCGCTAGGCGTTTGTTTGATGGGACTCCACTTTCCAGTCCTAGAATGTATTCAGATGTCGCTATGGAGCGCCAGTCAGATGAATCATCAGTTTGTAGTAAGCCCTTATCCCTTATATCGCCTATATTTCTATATTTTTACTTCTCGTGGCCAGACAGTCTATTTTCTGGTTTTCCTCAAATGAAAACTGTGGACAATCCACAGAAATACATGTCTTATCCAGTGGCAGTCAATTCAATCCTTCACTTTAACATAGTTGTAAGGTCTGTGGTCAGAATTTTTATGCATATTATCCAAACTCGTTTTATTATCCTAGTTTTAACCTAGCTATCTTTATAAAGATGAGACGAAATATTTTTAAAGCAAAATATTTAAATATTTTCGCCTAAAGATTCTATGAACTAAAAAGAGCTTTTTTTAACTTTAAAGGACTTAGATTTAATTGTTTTGTAATAAAGCATTATCTTTAAGTATACGAAGTAAAATAAGCTGATGTATTTAATTTGTAAAATTCCCCTAGATATGTGATGTGAATCGCACAACAGAACATTCCATGAATAAAGACTAGAAAGCATATTTCTATAGTTTTTCATCTTCACAAGGAGTTAACAAGAAGGCTCGCAGCACTGTTTCCAAGCAATTTAGTATAAAACTTCTAGTCTTAAATTAATATTTGAAGTTACTATAGTCCTCTTGTATATTAAGTGAAACTATTCGGTGACTTTAAAAATGGTTGACAGGAACCATTTTAACTAGAACTACATGAATTCGTTAAGTTTCTTCCAGTTTTTAGTGACTTATATATGGTGGTGGTATAGTTAAGTCGTTTGATTTATAACCCTTAGGCTGAGGTTTGAACCCCACGCGACATTTTTCTCTCTGCTCATCATAGTGTTGTTTTCAAATCTCTTACTGTTTAACTCAAGTTTGGTATGTAAACCTGTAATTATTGGATGAATTACATTACGACATATAATGTCCAAACAGGAGTTCAGCATGAATCCATTTATTGAATAGATTTATCATAGCTTATGAATACATGATCACTGGATCCAAACAAGAATAACATAAATATAAATCCTCACATACCGCTGTTTGAGGCCGTTTCATAATAAATAACATATTTACTTTACGAACCAAGTTCATTTGAACACAATTCGATGGTTGTTTCCACGATCCCACATTTATTAATGTTAATTTCGATTATTTCCCTGAAGTTTAAATCAGACAATCGAGAGTAACAGTGAAGTTATTTAATTCCAGTCGTTGAAATTTCATACAAATGTGATTGGGTCTTCTATATTTTCTGTATAATCACAACTATTCAAGAACTATTCGTTTAAGTTTTGACGAAATGTATATGAGCTAAATTTTTATTTTTGGTATGAATAGTTCTGTCTGAAATTCTGTCTTGTCTTAACTTTCATTTAACTGTAAATCAACTCATCAAGTAATCGGATTTCAGCTACATTTAAAGTGACTGTTAGTAATCTTACTACCCGGTTACCACAAACGAAGTAAGGGAAGCGGGGTGTGGACCTTAGATATAGTGGATGGAAGTCGAACGCCTTAACTGCTTAACCACCCCTTTGAACCGGGCATTCCCATTTAGTAATAGTGGGGAAATTATCTCAGGGTTATCCATAAATAACATGAAACGTATCTCGATATCCATGTTTATATTTGTTTATTAAGTTATGAATTGAATTTGTCATGTAATTTAGGGACACATTTCACCAGCTGCATAGATATATGTAATTGTAATAGTGTATTTGAACTCTGTTGAAAGTTTTGTATTATTCTTTTCTGTGAAACTTTGCAAAACAATAAACCGTATTAATACAGTCGACAGAAAGTGAGTATTGTTATTTGATGACTGATATAAAAATTAACAGCGTCTTGAGACCATATAACTTAATGACTAAGTACGAGTTTATGTACCCGCCTATGAGCCACACATTGTTGAAGGGATAGTGACACTGTGGAACATTATTCTAACCTGCTACTTACTCGTTAAGAAGTCGGGTTCTTTAACCACCAAACTCTCGCTCCAGAACCTGACATTTAATGTTCAGTCAACAAAATTAACACATTTATTTGATCATCGTTATTGAATGTCAGCTTTGTATGTTACCCTTTGTTTATATATTTTTTTCCATCTAGTTTGTTGTCGAATTAATTCTGTATTTTAGAGAATGTTTCAGAGTGCTTATTGAAAAAATGTCCTTTTACGGTCAATTCATATGAACCAACATGTTCAAATGATTATCTGTGCGCCCAAACCTCTAATAATCACGGAAACGAGATGTATCAAAACCAGTTATGTGGGATTTCTGATGGTAAGTTGAATGATTGTTTGGAAGATATAAATATATTGCAGAAAGCATATCAATTACATAAGAATTGCTTTTATAATAAAACACATAAAAAACGAGTACACTTCGTGTTAAATTTTCACTAATTTCTCTAGTCATGAGCTCACCTTGTTTGCAGGGTTCGATGTGAATAATTTTCTATATACAAGTTATTATTTCAGAATTGTGAATAAGGTAACCTAGTAGTTCTACGTGTTATCTATAGTATGATGTGTTATTTCTTGATGAATACCCAAATGCCCTAGTATGACCGAGAGTGGGGTGGGTTCGCCCTCCCTCTCGAAATACTCTCACACAGCCACGCGTATACAGCATCTGCCAGGGAAGTCCTACTCACTGCCTTCTAGTGGCGGGGGTGTTGTTTACGAAAATGAGAGGACGAAAAGCGAATGTCCGGTGTTATAACAGGATCCCAAACCAATGGTGCACATGGGCTCCAGTATCCTGAAGGAACAAATGGCGTATGAACCAATTTTTGGTCACCGGCTTCCATGGGACTGCATCTCCTCACGATGCTCCACTGCCTTGTGGATTAGACCTTTAGGTCAAAGGCTCGGGGTGTGGCCCCCTAAGAAGACCACTTGCTTCGGTCTGGGCACCCGAGCAGTATCCCAGCCCACGCACTTAAATATGATGAACTATTTACTTATGGAAAATATTCTTTTCGCTCCGATTTACACTGAAATGACTCGCATTACTGTTATTATTATTATTATTATTATTATTATTATTATTATTATTATTATTATTTTACCACGTCATTTATTCACTCTCTCTTATTCCCACTTTATGTATCCGTTTCGACCTAGATAGAAGCTCGTCTATGGCGAAAATTCGGCTCTATCTAAACGTTCTCGAGTCACTGCCTGGTTGAAAATTGTATGTTACCACCGAATACGAGTGCTGAAGCGGTTTTTCTGAAACCATGCGCACCATTCAAACTGGCTGCCTTCAACGTTTACACACTTATGCAGGTCGGACAACAGATAGGGCTGGCTATGTCTTTGGAAAGTCTTAATATTGACGTGTGTTGTCTATCCGAAACCCGTATTGAAGACTCTGGTGAAGTACTACAAATTCGCTCTCCATCTGTCACTTCATAAAGCTTGTTTTATGTGCGTTTATCCGGGGACCCTGTGGCATCTTCGTCTGGTCTTGCTGGCATTGGTGTCGCACTAAGCGCTAGAGCTGAGGCAGCACTAGTCGACTGGATCTCCATTAACAGTCGGTTATGTGCTGTTAGTTTAGAAAGTTCCATCAAAGTGAGGAGAAATCGGCGTGAGAAACGATGTCTTTTCGTCATCTCCGCCTATGCCCCGACAGATTGCAGCCCGGATGTAATCAAGGATGAGTTCTACCACCAGTTAACTGTTCTTCTCCAGAAAGTGCGTTCGACAGATATTGTTGTACTAGCCGGAGACTTGAATGCTCAGGTCGGGCGTCTAGACACAGAAGAGAGTCGTTTAGGTGGCCGATGGGGACTCGTTGGTCGCAGGACAGATAACGGGGAACGTCTACTGCAACTATGTACAGACCACAACCTGTTTCTGGCTAGCACTAACTTTCGGCACAGTCATCGCCGATGTGCCACCTGGCGTCTCCCTTCTGCATCTCAAGCCTGGACTCAGATTGATCACATCGCGATCAGCTACCGATGGCGTGGTTGTGTACAAGACTGCCGCTCCTTTTGGAGTACCTATCTGGACTCTGATCATGCCCTGGTCTGCGCCAATCTTACCTTACTTTTCAGTGGCCAACGAAGTGACCGCTACCAAAGGATTGATGTCAGCAAGTTGGTTGCAACTTCTGTTGCTAGTAAGTACCGAACCGAGCTAGCTTCTATGCTAGCTACCATTCCACCGTAAAGTATAGATGAGCATTGGTTGCAATTGCATGACGCCATGAAAATGGCGGGTCAAGTCAGTTGTGGGTTCGCGAAACGTCCAGATTACAAGCACTGTGTTTCTTCTGGTTCCTTACAACTGATTGAAGCCCGTCAGTCTACTCCGGGTGACCGTGAGTTTGACCACAGACGAAGGATGTTACGTAATGAAATTGGGCAAAGCTTGCCTAAAGACCGAGAAGCCTGGTGGTCGGAGCGTACTAATGAGCTGGAAGCAGCAGCTGCATCTGGTGATTTCCGGAAGCTCTTCCAACTCGTCCGAGCCACTGGGATCAAGAAGTCTGGTGTGAGCGAAACAATCTGCGAGGATGACGGAACGTCAATCACTAACATCCATCGACGTCTTGGACGATGGGCAGAATTTTTCGAAGGGCAGTTCAACTGGCCTGCTGATCCGGCAACATCGGTCAGACTGTTCTGCCCCACGTGGCCGGTGACGACTGATCCACCAAATGAGGCGGAAGTCCGCAAGAAACTCCAACTCCTGAAACGCTACAAATCACCGGGCCCAGACGACTTACCTCCGGCTCTTTTTAAAGATGGTGGTGACTTTCTGACTAAGGGACTGACGACGTTGTTTACAAAGGTCTGGGAACTAGAGAGTGCACCAACGTCATGGAATGAGTCGATAGTTGTCCCTATTTTTAAAAAAGGTTCACGTCGTTCCTGTAACAACTATCGGAGGATAAGTCTACTTCCGATTGCGTCCAAACTATTGGCTTCCGTTATACTTCGTAGGTTGTTCAAAACCCGAGAAGGATTGACTCGCGAGTAGCAGGCTGGGTTTCGTTCCGGTCGAGGATGTGTTGATGATGTCTTCACCCTCCGCCAAATGTTAGAAAGCCGCCATACTTATCAAAGGTCAACAATCGTAGTGTTTCTTGACATCAGGGCTGCCTTTGATTCGTTGGACAGAACTGTTCTCTGGGAGTGTCTATTGAAGAAGGGTGTGCCTGAGAAGTTTATTAACATCCTGAAAGCATTATACACAAACACCTCAAGCAGAGTGAGGGCATACAACCCCCTTTCTCCATTGTTCCATTCAAGCAGTGGGGTTAGGCAGGGTTGCCCAATCTCATCATTCCTCTTCAACTTTGCCATCGATGACATTCTGGAAACAGCTCTGACGGATGTAAGTAATGGTGGTGTGGATCTGTTGCCTGGAGAAAGACTTCTCGACCTTGAGTATGCGGATGATATTGTCCTACTGTGCGATAATGCCCAAGCCATGCAATCCACACTTAATCAGTTGGCAATCAATGTCCGTAGGTATGGTATGTGCTTTGCACCTTCAAAATGCAAAGTACTTCTGCAAGACTGGTAGGATTCTAATCCTGTACTCACTCTGGATGGTGAGCAGATAGAAGTGGTCGGGAAGTTCGTGTATCTAGGTAGCTGCATAAGTGGTGGTGGTGGCGTGAGTGATGAGATCAATGCACGTATAGTGAAAGCCAGAGCGGCTTATGCCAATCTGGGCCATCTTTGGCGCCTTCGTGATGTTAGTCTGGCTGTAAAAGGTCGGATCTACAACGCGTCGGTGAGAGCAGTTTTGCTCTATGCTTGTGAAACCTGGCCTCTCCGAGTTGAGGATGTTAGACGACTCTCTGTGTTCGATTATCGCTGTCTCCGAAGGATTGCTGACATCCAGTGGCAACACCGTGTTAGTAATGCAGAGGTTCGGCATCGTGTGTTCGGGCAGAGAGACGATAATGCAATTGGTGTCACCATCTTGAAACATCGACTTCGGTGGCTTGGACATGTTCTACGAATGTCATCCCAGAGAATTCCTCGTCGTGCATTATTTGCTGACTCTGGGACTGGTTGGAAAAAGCGGAGAGGTGGTCAGCATATGACATGGTGTCGTAGTATGGAAGAAAGCTACAAAGGGCTAGCTTCTGTTGGTCCTTCACGACTCCCTGGCTGGGGTCCGAGAGATGGTGTAACGCAGTGGCTAGAGACATTATCAGATATGGCTCAGAATAGAAGCCAATGGTGATCCTGCTGTAATCTTCTTTTACTTTCTTCATAATAAGTGGTTGTATCTTCCTTAACTGAAAGATTTCTTCTGATTGTACCTTTCCGTTTCCCTCATTATTGTTCTCTCTCTGTTTTTTCTTGTTTTTATAATTCCCCACGTTCATAACTTTTTTTTTCTCCTTCTCTAAATTCTCATTGTTTTGTGTGGCGCATATATATATTTGGTGTCCCCTTGTACCAATATTTATGTGTTCAAATAAATAAATAAATAATAATATGATTTGTATTTTACAGTTCACATCACATCGTAAACGTGGTTAAACAACTTATAAAAGAGCAGAAAGAAGTAAATGGTCGTTTTGTCCTAGTATGGGGTTCCTCAGCATTAGGTATCCACGACCCAATCAGAAGTGGAACTTAAGAACTTTAGATCTCACAGCAAATTCCTAACCTTTAGACCACTGATTCAGTGTTTTGTTCGTACTAAGTTGTGAAGAAATTATTCATTACAATGTTAGTATCTAAAAGCGTTCTTTTTAATCATATTTCTCATCTATTCTTTTTGTAGATATATGTATTCCAAACACGTGTGCCTTATTCGCTGGTTGGCAAAAGAGTATAGTGGCGAGAAAAAGTCTACAGCCAACAACCGCCATAACGATAAAGAACGCTGATCCAGAACATTCTCAAACAATCGGTTCAGTGCGTAATGATGGTGATAGCTGCCTAGGTTTCAATTATAATAAGTTTTTCGTGTCTGAAGTAGAAAGGAAAAAAAAAGATTCTACTTATCGAGTATTTAGAAGAATTTTAAGAGATGCATCTGAATTTCCGTTTGCAGATGATTATTCTAGTGGTATGAAACGTCGTGTAGCTGTCTGGTGTTCCAACGATTATTTGGGAATGAGTTGGCATCCTAAAGTTCAAGAAGCTGCCATGTAAGTGTTGCTTTTTTATTCCTTTCAGTTAGTTGTGATTGTTATGGACTTTTAGTGGACAAATCACAATTGACATAACCTTATCAATGCTGACACCAATATGGCGAACAGATGTTAGGTATGTTACTTAGAGGCTATAATGTTTGGGTGGTGACTTACAAGGGGCCTTCATCTTATAATTGCTTATCACCCAAATATTTTATAGTTTCTTTTCACAGATAACCAACTGTGTTATTTCTGTATTCGTAAATTTCGTAAACTAGTTATTCTATTTCATAGTGTGGTGTGTGCTACTGATGTCGAAAGATATAAATAGTATGTATCGTCGATCGAAAGTGCAATGTCTGGAGGCAGAAGGTTAAGAAGATCAAAGAAAGAGAACCAGAACAAAGAATGATTGATGTGGAAACGAAAATACAATAGTCTGAGACGATTGATTGACATTTGCAAAAGGAACAGTCAAGTTTGAGACAATTGATTGACATTTTGCAAATGAAGTATTCACTATATAGTTCTCAGATTTTACTAAAATGTTCTGTAATTTTGTGTTCAAATACATTCGATTGTTCCCACTTGTGTTCTCGTTCACTACGATAGTATCTGTTCATTTAAAGAATGTGGTATAAATGCAATTATTAATAAATAAATAAATAAATAAATTAATTAATTAATTAATTAATTAATTTATTTATTTATTTATTATTATTATTATTATTATTATTATTATTATTATTATTATTATTATTATTATTATTATTAGTAGTAGTAGTAGTAGTAGTAGTAGTCAGTAACTGGCCAAAATTCTGCTACTACATACTAATTGGTACTCAGTCTTAGTTAAACACATACTTTTTCCTTTCATACTAAACACAGATGAACGTTGGATTATTTGTGAAAGAAAATCCAACTTCGTTTTGATGACAACTATATTATGTTCAAATAGTGTAGTGTCATAATTAAGTATATTAGAAATATGTACTATATGGTATGTGCTATATTATGCATTCTGATCAATATAATCTCACAAATGCCCTGGTACGGCCGAGAGTGAGGAGAGTCCGCTCTCCTTCTCGAAATGTTCTCACATGGCCACGCGTACATAGCCCCTGCCAGGGAAGTCCTACTCACTGCCTTCACGTGGCGGGGGTGTTGTTTACGAAAATGAGAGGACGAAAAGCGGATGTCCGGCGCTTTAACCGGACCCCAAACCAATGGTGCACATGGGCTCCAGTATCCTGAAGGAACAAATGGCGTATGAACCAATCGTTGGTCACCGGCTACCATGGGACTGCATCTCCTCACGATGCTCCACTGCCTTGTGGATCAGACGTTCAGGTCAAAGGCTCGGGGTGTGGCCCCCTAAGAAAACCACCTGCTTCGGTTTGGGCACCCGAGCAGTATCACAGCCCTCACACAAATCAATTGAGATTCGTGTGGCGCATATGTACTTGGTGCCTCCTTGTACCAATACCTATGTGTTAAATAAATAAATAAATAAATATACAATTCATGAATATACTTTTATCTCAAAAATAAAAGGTCAGGCTATGCAAGTGGAGACGTGAATAACAAGGATAATAAGGTAAAGCGTGATTCAACTCAATGGAAATCCAGTTAAAATTAATATTTTAATGTAATATCGGTTGTGCTATGATGTTTTTTTCCCATCGATTCTTGGTTTTCACATGTTTCCACTTGTATACTCTGACCTTTCATTTCTGAATTACGTATATCATCATGTACAAAAAAGTTATCACTTAGCACACACACGACGATTAACTAATAAATCAATGTTAGATCAAACTGTTCAAGAGAAATGGTGGTGTAGCGTTAAATTCTTACCGTCATTAATGAAATTGAAAGTCTTTTTTGTTTAATTCGGTGTTTATTTCTCAACCCCTACACTATCATGAAAATTGAGCCAAATAAGATAACCTGGTAGATGAAATTTCAGAAATCAACTAAATTGTAAGAGTAGTTTCATTCAATTAAAGCACAACAGTTCTGCAAACCAAATAATTTTAGTATTCAATGAGTAATTGTAAAATTCTATTTAAAAAGAGTATGTTATTGCTTGTAAGTGTAGTAATGACGAATTAAATACTTAGAGTATAATTGATGAAACTCATAGTTCAATCAAATTAATTTAGCATCTGTAATTGAATAAGTTATATATCACTATATTAATCTCTTTTATAAAAACTGCTTACTATACAAATTACCTGATATGTGGAATTGCATTATAATATATCAGAATTGTGAAGAATTTTGTTTGAAGCTCATGAACGATGTTAAATTCGTTCCAGATATTCTATTCTCATGGTTCACATGAGTGAAATAGAATTCGACAGAATGTACTAGTTATAACGATATAAAGTATAACCGATCTACCGAATAACCTATGCAACCGCGCTTATAAATGATATAATTTATCTTCGGTCGTCGTATTATAATGAGCACAACTACTGTTTAAGGTAAATCTGATTTTGTATTTCCCACTCGTGACATTTACTTACTAATATCATATGAACAACAAACAGTCACTTCACTTATTTACACAGTTTCATTGTCTAATCTGCTTGAATGGGTCTTCTATAATACTTTTACCGTGGTATATCATTCCAATTGATCTCTCGCTAAGTACCTATTCCCTAGACTTTCCGTTTGTCTATACATTTATCGCATTTCTCCCTTATAGTTAGTAGAAAAATGCAATAGATCAATCTAGGTTAAAACATTACATATATTAGAATTATGTTTTTTTAAGAATCAAGGTTGTAATTTATCGTATAGGATTTTATATTACATATATAGGTATGGAGGAAGTAATAAACGACAGATGAATTTCTTGAATAAGTCCTTGTACTGTCGTACACGGTCTTAGCACGGCTATGGTCAAAACAGGTATTTATATATACATAGCCAAAAAATATATTTTTTTTATAAAATGTAAGTTAATAAAACTAAGATCATGAGGCGACCAATGTTAGGCCACCATTGAAAACCTGGAAGCACTGGATGACCGTTCAGTCCTAGTATGGTAATCCTCAGCAGGGCGTATCTACAACCCCTCACGCGGGATCCGAACCCAGAACTTTCGGTCTCTCGGGAGAACGCAACCTTATACTGGTGATTATCATGTGCTCACTAGTCACCAGGTTCGAGAGGTAATTCTCGGAGTTCTAGTAAGAAGCCGTGACCAGTGGAACTAATCTATGTCGGGTTTAAGGCAGTTACCCACCGAAGACAATGAAAGATGTTCGTGCAATATTATGGATTAGTTGTAATTAAACATGAACATTGTTGGATGCCGGTTCAGTTATCTGGAGTCCAAGCGTCCGCGCGCGACACTGAAAGCCCTGGATTCGAATCCCTTGTTAGGGATCGTGGGTGCGTGCCTCTGAGGAATCCCATACTAGGACGAAACGGTCTTCTAGACTTTCCAGGTCTTCGATGGTGGTTTAATATCGATCGGTTCATTATCTCAATTAAAACTCAACAATCTCCACAACCCTATACAGATAATACAATTAGTGCACACAAATACCGAATAATATCAGTGAAATAACAAAATGAATGAATAACAAGGATTAGTCATGTTTATATAACTGGAGCAATTTCATAACTGTTTTCTTGATTTAATCACTCATATGACAATGAATTTTTCTAAAAAACATTTTTTAGTTCTACCATACGTAAGCATGGTGTTGGTTCAGGTGGAACACGTAATATATCTGGTAACTCATTGTTACATGAATCATTAGAAGCTGAATTGTCAGATCTTCATGGAAAACCAGCAGCTTTAATATTTACAAGTTGTTACGTAGCTAATGAAGCTGTATTGCATACTTTAGGAACTCGTATACCGCAACTAACAATACTCTCTGATGCTGGGAATCATGCATCAATGATACATGGGATTCGAACTAGTCGTTGTCCAAAAATTATCTATAGACATAATGATGCGAAACACTTAACTTCGTTACTTGCAAATATACCTAAGGATTCGCCGAAACTAATTGCTTTTGAAACAGTCCATTCAATGTCAGGTAACTAACTAATTTGTATGTTGATCTCATATATTTAACATTGAAGAAGTTTTTATAATTGTCACTTCTGTTAGTTTTCTGTTCATAGGTTTAAATGATAATAATGTACTAGTCTTTTGGACTTTCCGTTTTAAAATCAGAAAAACAAAGAAAGAATAACTCCAGCATAAATTTAAAAGTGTATTCTGCTTATCATGTATTCACTATTTAGAATATATAAGTTTACTTTGTGTAATATGGTCATTTAATCGTTAAACACATGTATCTTGAGGACTTCAATAATTACTGTTCAATATAGACTGGTTACAAAATATTCTCTGAAGAAACTTTGGCAATTAGTAAATATTTTTTTACATTGATAATTCTGTAATAGTAGACTACACAAAATTAATAAAAATGCCTACATTTTAATAGACTTGTTCCTGTAAATGATCCAATAATATTTCAGTAATAAGCGTGATGACTATCGGACACAAAAGAAAAAGATTTAGTAAAGGAGTATATCATTTCCAAGTTTCCATACGTCACACGCTTGACGTAACTTATATATCAGGTACAGCGTTGCGTACTCCGTTTGAGATAAACTGTTTGTGCCAAGAGGATCAATGATATTACTACCAGGCTTCTCAAACCGAAGTAGATGCCACGCAGGGTTTCGATATATAGCCTACTGCTTGAAAGTTTAAGTCTTTGACCAACAGGCCCACCATTTCATAAATTGAAACAGGAGGTCAATAAGAATAAAATAGGAGAATGACACATGGAAATTAATATTCTGAGATAAATAGGTGTCTGTTACTTATAGTAAGTTAAATAATAGTGATGTTTGTGATACTGGTGGGTTTTAAGGTAAGACAGGTCAAGTTCCCCATCTGACTAAAAATAAGTCACGGAGTCGAACAAATAAATTCACAGTCCTCTTATGCGGCTCATACCACTAATAAAAATTTCAAGGATTCTTGTTGTTTTTAGCCAAACACATTTAAATTTTATTCACACTAGTCCTACAGTTATATCCTGTTGAATTTTTAAATAAATCACTTCTTGGTGTAATCGCACGTAATGGTATCTAAAATTCTTGCAAACTGCTTAAGTTTCTTCAGTTTTAATTGAATATCTGATGCTACCAGCAGAAGTATAGCCTCGCTGGTAAATCTAAGTTCTGGTCTTGACTCCAAGAAGCAATCACTATCGCTCATTAAAATTTCCAGAAACAAGTCGTCAGAAGAGTGCTGATCACTTATAACAGCTTCAATGAAAATACATTTCAGTAAGACTTATTACAACGCAGTTATTTACGACAGTCGTTCTTCTCTTCAGTGGACCTCCCTATCTTAGTATGGTTTGATTGGTCACATTCTGTAGTTATTATCCAACTCTGTGCGATAAGCAGTTTGTGGCCAAAAATGGTCAATATCGTGACTTTGGAGCGCAACTTAGTGACTAAATCTCATTTACTAACAATCACTCAACTAAAATCTATGTAAGATACTGTCTGAAAACTGATTCATGTAGAAGTAGCGTATATTTCGTTTAAGCCACATTTTGTTTCAGAACCTATCTACCCTTTCTTATACCATACGACCTCTTACCGTTTCAGTTAAATATTATTATCATTGATTTCGTTGTTATTTAGCATTTATCGAGTGAATTTTCATTCACCTACAGACTGTTATATTTAATTATTTAAAAGCGACTTATTTTTATAATCATAGGTGATGTCTGCCCATTGAAGAATTTATTAGATGTTGCTGAAGCTAATAAAGCACTTTCATTTGTTGATGAAGTTCATGCTGTTGGTTTATACGGTGCACATGGAGCTGGAGTTGCTGAACGTGATGGCCAGATGCATAGGATAGATGCAATTACGGGTACACTTGGCAAGGTTTGTTAATTATATTAAAATTAATAAAGTTATTTGTACTTTTCACGCACCTGTAGTTTAAACAATCTTGTTAAATTTATACTCAAGCATTAGGCTTGCAGAGAGATTTTAGAAAAAGGTGGTAGGTCAAATTTCTCAATGCACGTCATCTGATATTATGTATGAGATGCATGTACCTACTGACCATAGTAATTATATAGTAACACTGTGTAAATCATAAAGTCTTACGTCATTGGTAACTAGTTTGATAGTTCACAGACTATTTTTTATCATTTACTACTTGTATTATAGTTTGTTGACGTACGAAATAAATTAAAAGGTTAACCGGTTATGACACTATTACTCGCTAATAAATCTTATCATTCTACATAATAATACGTTCATCACAAAATGTTTCCAAATCAAGTATTGTTTTCCTGATCAATAGTATATGTAATTTTATGGTTATCGCTAATTTTATTGTCTATTTTCGTATTCGCAGGCTTTTGCTAGTATCGGAGGCTATTTAGCAGGAAGTTCTGAACTAGTTGATATGATCCGATCTTATGCTTCCGGATTTATATTTACTACTTCACTACCACCGCATTCCTTGGCTGCTGCACAAACAAGTATTCAAATTTTGAAATCTTCTGAAGGAAAAGAACTTCGTGCAGAACACCAAAAACGAGTATCTATTGTACGCCAAAGTCTCCGTCAAGCAGGATTGCCTGTGATTGAAGCGCCGTCACACATTATTCCGCTACATGTAAGTTTTTATTTTTCTAATTCGATAATTTTTATGTTTCATTAATACTTTGATCTGTCTAACAAAGCCCAAGTTTGTGAGAACTAATCTATTAAGTACAAGTAGGTAATTACATAACAATCAATCGAATCCATTTGTAACAACCTATGCTAATTAACTAATTTACTTACCTATTCAAATAAAAATTTTAACTAGTGAGTTTCAACTCATTGGTTTAAGCATTCGAATTTATCCAATGGATAATAGCTTCAATTTACGACTCACCTAAAGTAGTACTGGAAGAAAGACAAAATCATTGAATAATGCCTAGCACGCTGTTGTGTCACTAAATTTGTGCTAGGAATAAAAGAACTCTTCAACCCATCAGTCGATAATTGATTTAAATGAATACAAATTTGATAATAATTTGTTAGTGTTTCACATTTTCATTTATAGAAATCTGTATACAATTCTAATTATTTGATTTTTACGCTATTATGGATGCTTTATAATTTATCTGTATTAATAGGTCGGTGAAGCAAAACTATGTACGAAAATATCAGAAGAACTGTTATCCGAGCACAATATATATGTGCAATCGATAAATTACCCAACTGTAGACATAGGAGATGAACGTTTGCGTATTGCACCCACACCGCACCATACAGATAAACTAACTGAAGAACTAGTGGATTCTTTATGTATGGTATGGAAAAAATACAATCTACCTTTAAATGTTGAATCAGCAAGAAAAATCACCCGACAAGCTGGTTAACATTGAAGATAAACAAATTATTAATATTATTTGATTGTTAGTTTAAAGTAGGTAATCAAACACAAATTCGAATGTTTAGTTTTATTTATTTCTTCACCAGTCGTTGTCAGTCATGTAAAAGAATGTCTACTTAATTTAAATAAAATGTTAGTTTAACGATTAACAATGCTTTATTTCTTTTTTTTAAACAATTAATAATAAAACAATTTGGTTTGTACAAAATAAAGCAGTCTGTCTAATGTTATGGTTACAATAATTTCAGTCTGATATAGGACGTTTATACCAAAATCTTGCACGATTATCATCACTACAGGACATAAATGCCGCTGTTGTTGGTGAATGTACGAAACATCGGATTGGCCCGTTATGATCTAGTACAGAGAAAAAAATTGGGTAAAATAATTCAACCAATACAGTACAGGGTATTTAGTGATATAATAGCATGAATGAACTAGGTTTTCTATAAATAATTTATTACTGTGTATCACTGTAGTTTAGCCAAGTCTTTAGTCTGTTGATATACAATAGTGAGAGGAGGTTAGAACGACTTTCCCATCGCTTTAAAATAAATTTTAAGCTGCAAAAGCAAATTAATAGTAAACTGATAAACAGTTTACGCAATGATTCGTTCATAATGAGTAAACTTTTACGTTACTTATAAATTGGTAGATTTTCTATATTTTAACAAAAAACTGTATTGTCGATGTGTATAAACTTACTAAGGGCTAATAAACGCTGTCTGTCAGCATTACGTGAATCCCAACAACACAGGCTTTTTGTTGCTTCGTCTGGGAATAGTACTATACAGAGAAAAAGAATAAATATCATTGTATGCTTGAATTACTGCTAAAATAAGTGAGATAATAGTCACATTAAAAAATACGACTTTTCTAAGTAAAGCTACAAGTAGGCATTCATGAAATCGTTTCAGATGATTTATTTCTCCTACAAAGTTCTAACTGATTTCGTTTTAAATTTATCTGCAAATATCAAACATGGCTACTGAAAGAGGAAGACATTCAAGACACTCGATGCTTTCGAAGCAATTCTTACATATAATGAAATCGCTTTGTAAATATTATCACTTACAAATTGAATACCACTACTGAGGGTAGAATATTATTGAAGTAGACGTCGGTTGGGAAATGTCTCACGGACGATTAATTACAGTTCATGATTTTAATCACTTAATAACTTCTGACTAGTAGGTCGGAAAACACAGTAGATGTAGTATTTCGCAACGGAAATTAATTAATAGGAATGTGCTAGTTACATAGCACTACCATATTACGAAAGTCACGGTAGTAATTGTTGTCGTGTAAACCTCAACATTTTTACATGCAGATGAAGTATCTCTACTTCACCACTAATTTTATGGTATCTAAGTTCTCTCATGACTCTTATCTTTGGTATTCGGGATGAGTATAATATAAACTTATGTATTAACCATTGGTATTTTCCATCGTAACAATACAACGGTCAGTTGTAGTTAAAGTAGGATATGGTACAAGTGTCCCGGCTCAAGCTGGCACGTCAGAGCAGAAAAAAGAACCAATAACATCAAAAGCGTACAAAGTTAAATAACATCGAAAACAAGTGAAAGCCAAACATGAAAAATACAACATGTATTAATCGGTCAACTTACCATAATCTTCTGTGTGATTAAAGACAGCCATTGATCTGTGTGTTTGATGTCCTACTGTACCTGCTCCAGTGTAGGTTATAAGACATCGTCCAGTGGCTAATTCCCATAGTTTGACTGCACTGTCTTTACCAGAACTAAGAATATACTAAAAATGGAAATATGCACACTGTAATTTTTTTTACTTAAAATGAAAAATGATACAACTATATCACAATGAGCATTGTTTTTAACTTGGAAAGCCTCTAAGACTGATATAAAACCGGCCACTGTAGGGTAGATTACAATATAAAACTAACGATTTTATACTTGCTATGAATTTTGATAAGTTTTGCGACGATTCAGCGTTTTGTGTCACCACTACAAGCAACATACTATCTTGGGCTACAACATCAAAATACTTATTTGCACTATACAAAGAATCTCACAAAATCCATTTACGGGAATTTTATCTAGGATTGAGTAAGTCAAATGCAACGTAGAATCTGGCACATGTATACATTGGTTCATGTTGACAGAGATGAAGTCTTCAGGGCAAATCTCAGAGTAATAAAGATAGTAACAGTATTAGCGGTGATGGGAAATATCAGTCATTGAGGATACGATTTGGTAAAAATAAAAACTGGTGAAATAATAAACAAAAAGAATTTATGAGGGATCAAGAAACTTAGGATCTGAGAGAAGGCTAAGAGTGGGTATACTTGCACCGTTGCGAACGACTTTGTGCTATGCTATTGAAAGTCTCTAACCATTTTGTTGTAATAATAACACAGACATCAACTAGGTAGTCTACACCTGCCTACTGCTTATTATACATGAGTTATAGCGATGGTCAGTAGTTAAGCACATTTTAAAGTTTTTGGAAAACTGTTGATTTTTCACTTGTTCAGTAAACTTCGCAAAAAAGTTGGAAACGCTAATGTACACGTTGTCCTAAGGAAAATACCTAAAAATCGTAACTACCTTTTTTTATTAACATGTTGTTAAAAGTATGGATAACTCAAACGAACTCGTAACATTATACTTGGCATAGAAGCAATACTAGGAGGCGTAAGTACTTGAAGGAAATGCGAAACTTTAAATAACGATCCAACATTTTGAATGACACGGAAAACGAATTAATGATAAGGGTTCTAGACTTGAAAGTAAATAAATGCATTTATCTCAGGTGTATGATTGATTGCCACTTCTCCTTCATTATCAATTTGAATGAAGTGTTGATCACTTTGTAAAAATTCCAAGCATTCACAAAAATGCAATTGTTCAAGCAAAAGAATTGTACATACTGACACTTCTGATGAGCATTTTCAAATTATACTAAATTAAATGTACGGTGAGTATCATATTTACATGTGGCATTTCCCACCAATGCTACGAGTGGTTCACTTACTGAGATTGGAGTATAAAATAGATTGGACTATTGGTTCACATAAACCAACAAATAATCAATGGAATCTATTTGATAAGCATCGTATTTAGTGACTAATGGATCGATCACTCAACAAATTAAGGAGTATTGATGATATTATTCATTACATTATGCACAAGGTATCTCTGCGAAATAAGCTGTAATATTGTCCCAAAATGATATTCAAATATAAAGGGAAGCATACTCGAACTTTTTAACATACTTTTCCATTACGTGAAAAAACTACAGAACACACAGGTGCACCATCGTGTGCAGCTTCAAATGTGTTAACACATCTACATGAAACTCCATCCCAAATCTTGAAGCTGCCATCCATCCCAGCAGTAACAAAAGCAGTTCCATTCGGTGACCACCGAACCATATTAACTGCACTAAGATGTTGGTCTTCTGGAACGGCTGATACATAGCAACGACAGGTTTGTACATCATATAAACGAACTATAATAGAGAAAACGTAGTTATAAAATATGAAATATAGCAGTCATGCATTATTCAGAACAATAAAAAGAAACACCCTTCAGTTTGAGTGCTTTGATATAGATCCTAGGAGCAAATACTCTGTCTGAAAAAGAAAATGGACATCAAAGAGACCTTCTCATGGATTTTTTCCTATTGTAATGCGATACGAGAAATTGATTGTGTTATAACTAACATCATGTTTGATGGATTTCCTAATCAGTTTCTCTAACATATATAAATAGAAAATATGCTTGGAACTTTTTAATTTTTCCCAAATATTATCAAAAGTTCGACTGGCTTACATGACTAACCAATCAATTTTGTTACTATCTTCTGATAAATCCACTTTTTACGTTCTTAGGGTAAAAATATCTCTTACAAAAAGTTCGAGAAGACTGCTTAGTTTATAAATTCATCTTGACTACCACCTTAACTTTAAACGAAAAGAATTATGAGATGTATTGATGATGTATACAGTAGATTGCCCATTAAAGGATCAATGCACTCCAAACATACTACTGAGGTAAATATTTACAGATTTGTTTGAGTAATAACACTTAGAAGTCATTATTAAATTAAAAACAATTTGTACAAAAAAGCTTACGTGTTTTATGCTGAGTGCCAACAAGTAAAAAGTTACCAGATGGATGAAAATGTAAAGTTCGAATCGGGGAAGCTTCCTAAAGAAAAGAGAGAACAATTATAAGAAAATATTAACAAAATGCCAAATTAACAAACATATAATGAAACGAAAAATTCCAAATCGATTTATCTGTATGTGGTAATATTATTTGTACTTAAGAAAAACAAAGATAAATACACGCAAAGGGAAAGATTTCCGAAGAAAATATGTTACTGAATAAACAATAAGTCTTCAAGAGAAATTATTTATTTGTTTTGAATTAAAGATATTTATTTCTTAGCAATTTCATAATGATGTGGTTTTTATGTTTAAATATTGTAATCATATGTTATTTTTAAAAACTACATGCAAATAACATTTAAACAAAGATACAAGGAATAGATTATATGGATACAATCAATTATTATGAAACACATGATTAGTTAAATTCACTTGGTATTGTTGTACTTATATCTTCCCATTAGGGTTTAAGACTGCAATTGATCAGTCTGTTACTGGCATATGTGCATACCGTGCGTATGCCTCGAAATTGCCTTAATTCACAAGCTTTTATAAGCAAAGATGGATAGTGGCTAGCATTGGAATCCAGGACGCGCGTTTCGCCCTATTTGGGACTCGTCAGCTGGATGTGTCTATCAGGACTCAGTAGCTGAATGGATAACGCGATGGTGTTTGAAGTGAATGGTACTGAGTTCGAGTCCTAGAGTGAACACCAACTCTGAGATGCAGGTACACCCAGCTGACGAGTCCTAAACAGGACGAAACGCGCGTCCTGGATTCCACTGCTAGCCACTAGTTAATTTCTATTTCTATTCTAAATGTTTCTAATCATATAATCAACTTTGTAAAAGATCAAAAATTAACCGATCTTAAAAAAGCCTATATTTTATTTCAATCAATTATTTAATTTTCTTAACTAAAATTTATGATTACTAAAACGGCGATTTAAAAGTGAATAACACATTTTTACATTCCAAAATAATGTTT